CCCTCCCTGCGGGGCATGCCACGCTCGGGGACCTGGTCCCGCGGTTCCTAAACTAATCCCACGGACCCGCATCCCGTTTGGGCGATCCAGTTAAGGCGGTGCCGCGTCGCCGGCCCGCCCCATCCGGGTCCGGCGGTCGGCCGTGGGGGCCCGCGCACAAAGACACCCCCCCGCCTCGCCTGGCAGCCCGATGCCATATGCCGCCGGGCTGCCGGGCGTGTCCCGCCTGCGGCCACCACCGCGGCCGGCGCCCACCTGCCTCGAGGGCCCTCGACCGGCCGGCGGCCCTGGCCGGCCGACCCCCGGCGCGGCCCGCCAGCATCCGCCCGTTCGGGGCGCGTCCCGGCCGGCGGTCGCCTCGCCTGGCGCGCGCGCACACACGCGCCGGGCACAGGCCAACCCCACCCGGGCATGGGCCGCGCGCCAGCCCGGGCATCGAATCCACCCCGGGCCCGGGGCCCTGCCGCCGAGCCCAGCCCCGGTGGCCATCGCTCGGCACACGGCCACAGCCCGGCCGACGCGGCGTCCGCATGTCCCCCCCCCGCCGGCCCCTGGGCCCGGATGCCCAGCGGGGCCGATGCACATCCCCGGGCCCCCGGCGCGGCGCGCCATCCCCGCCGGGGCGCGCGCGCGCGCCTCCGGCAAAGCACGAGCTCCAGCCACCCAGGAGGCCCGCCGCCCGGGCTGGGCTGCATCCCGGGCCCCGCGAATGCGCGGGTCCGCCGCTGCGATGATTGCCCCCCCCCCCCGCCGATGCCGGGGGATCCCACGGCACGGGGCAGCTCAAAGGGGGGGGGGGACCGCCGGGACTCTCCCTCTCAGCGAGGCCCGACCCCGGCCATCGACACGAGGCTCCATGGGGCCCGCCGCGGCCGGCCCGAGCAACATGCGCCCGCCGGACACCGCGCCGGCAGAAAAAAAAAACCCAGCCCGCAGCGCGCCCGGGCGAAAAAGAATGCTCCCGATCCGGGAATTGAACCCGGGCCTCCCGCGTGACAGGCGGGGATTCTCACCACTATACTAATCGGGAGGCGAGATGGATGCCCCTTCGGTCCGGGGACTGATATGCGTGCCGCCCAGGCGCCGGCCCCGGGGCCGCGACACGCCCGCGCCCGCTCCGACACACCCGGGGGCCTGCTCCAGCGCACAGGGGCCCGCCCCCCATGCCAGGCATGCCCTCTCTTGGCCGACGCTCCCCGTTCCCCGCGCCCTCCCATGCGCCCGGCCCCCCACTCGCCCCGCGCCTTACGCCTCGCGCCCCGTGCCCTCCCATGCGCCCTCCCATGCGCCCCGCGTCCCTGGATGCCCCCCCACCCCCCTGCTCCACCCGCCCAGATGCCAGCAGACCAGGACCACCCAAGCCCGCGGGGAGGTGGAAAAAAAGGCACACAGAAAAGTTGCTATTCAAGATGTTTCTTTTCTTGCTTATCCCGGCCGGGCCCGGGGGCCGGCAGAGGGCGGATCCTGTCACTGGATGCCGGGCATGCCGCCGGCAAACACATGGAGGCCGGTGCACCGCTCGCGGAAGAGGGCCGCCGAGGGCCGCTCGGCCGGCGCCGCATACAGCGCCGACTCGATCAGGTCCCCGGCAAGGGCCGACACCGCCGGGCCGCGCGACCGCTCGCCAGCCACCACGGCCTCCATGATCTGCGAGATGTCCTTCCCGGGCCAGGGGGCCGTCCGGGTGAGGCACTCCTGCAGCATGACCGCCGCACTGAAGATGTCCGCCGGCAGGAAGAGCTCCCGATCCAGGAGCACCCCCCGCTGGAAGGCGGCGATCACCTCCGGCGAGGCGTACCGCACGCTCATGGCATTCAGCTCGGGCGTGCTGTGCACCAGGGCCGAGGACCGGCCGGCGCTCAGGCTCACCGAGGTGCCCAGGTCGCCGATGGCCGCGCTCCAGCCGCCGGCTGGCCGCCGGTTGACGAAGACATTGCCCGGCTTCAGGTCCCGGTGGGCCACCCCGTGCGCGTGCATGGCCTCCAGCCCGGTGGCCCACTGGCGGCACAGGTCCGCCAGGTCCACCTCCGACAGGTGGATCTCCAGGTACAGCAACACCTGCAGGTCGCAATCGAAGCGCTCCATCACAATGGCCGGGGGGGATTCCGAATAGCCATACATCCGGACCAGGTGCCCATGCTCCCGGAGCAGCCACATCAGGGCCACCTCATTCTGGAAGAGGGCATGGTGCACCGGCTGCATGGCCTCCGGCCGCATCCGCTTCACGGCCACCACGTCCGGGCAGCCCAGCCGGGCCACGACCCCCGGGCCGATGACCCGCGCGGCGTACACCGACGCCTGGCCCCCGGCCCCGAGCTGCTCGCCCAGCGGCTGGAAGCCGGCCGCCACGTCCACCAGGATGGCCCCGGGCAGGGCCAGCTCCACGATGGTGTTCAGCATGGTGGCGTCCTCGTCGTCGTCGTCGGCCGCCTTGCCGGCCGGGGCCCGGGCCCGGGCCCGCCGCCGCCTGGCCAAATACAGCCCCAGCACCAGCAGCAGGACCAGCACCAGCACCAGCAGGCCCACGGCCAGGCCGATGGCCAGGCCGACCCGCGAGCCGGCCGACTCCCGGGCCCGGTCGCAGTGGCCCGGCTCCGGGCCGGAGCACGGCCCCTCGCAGCTGGCGTGGCACCGGCCGCATGTGCCCGGGTCCTGGGCCTCGGTGAAGTGCCCCTCCGGGCACACCGGCACACAGGCGGCCCGGCTGTCCGGCGGCCGCGCCGGCAGCAGCAGCAGCCCGGCCATGCACCGGTCGCAGGACCCCGCCTCCGGGCAATGGACCAGCTCCCCGGGCCGGAGGGTGCACCCGTGCTGGCCGTCGGCCGGCCCGGCGCACTGCTCGCACCCGGCCGGGCACCGAACACACATGTCCCCCACCGGGGCCATGGCCGCCGGGCAGGCCGACCGGCACTGGGCCTCCTCCGGCACCAGCAGCAGCCCCGGCCGGCAGCCGGTGCACCGGTCGGCCGCGCCGGCGCACCCGGCGCAGGGGTCCGCACAGGGGCCACACTCGGTCGCCCCGGCCGGCAGGAAGGCCCCGGCCGGGCACTCGACATGGCACTCGCCGGCCGCCAGGACATACCCCGGGTCGCAGGCCGTGCAGTGCATGGCGCACGCCGGCCCGATGGCCTCGCACGCGCGGCAATGCCCCGGGCAGGCGACACACCGGCCGCCATCCGGACAGCCGGCCCACCCGTCGGCCGGGCAGGCCCCCACGCACAGCCCCCCCGGGCCGACCATGTCCCGGCCGTGGCAGCTCCGGCAGGAGGCCCGGTCATCGCACAGGGCGCACGACGCGTGGCAGGCAGCGCACGTGCCGGCCTCGGCGAAGTACCCGGCCGGGCAGCCGGCCAGACACTCGCCCTGCCACAGGACCCGGCCCTCCGGGCAGCCGGTGCACTGCCGCGCCCCGGGCCCGGAGCAGGCCCCACACGTCCCATCGCACGGGACACATGCCGACCCCGGGTCCGTGGCATAGGTCCCGGCCGGGCAGGCCGCATGGCACCGGCCGGCCAGCAGGAACGGCGCCCCCGGGCCGCACGTCAGACACTGGTCCGGGCCCGGGCCGTAGCATGTGCCGCACGCCGCGTGGCACGTGAAGCACATGCCGCCCAGCGGGGTGCTGCCAGCCGGGCAGGCAGCCACGCAGGCCGGCCCGGCCAGCAGCCACCCGCGCTCGCACTGCTCGCACGTGCCGCCGCCGGCCGGGCAGCTGGCGCACTGGCCCGGGCAGGCGACACACCCGCCGGGCTCGGTGCCATACCCGGCCGGGCAGGCCGGCGTGCACCGGCCCGGGCGCTGGTCCCGCGGCAGGGCCAGCATGCCCGCCGGGCAGGCCAGGCACTCGGTCGACCGGACCCCGGCGCACTGCCGGCAGGACACATGGCATGGCAGGCACCGGCCGGCCACGGCCACATGGCCCTCGGCGCAATCCTGCAGGCATTGGTCATCCTGCAGCACGGCATCACGGCACCGCCAGCAATGCCGGTCATCGGGCCCATTGCACGTGGCGCAGGCCGCATGGCAGGGCAGGCACTGGCTCGTGCCCGGGTCCCGGTACCGGCCATCGCCACAGTGGGACATGCAGGCCCCCTGCCCGGTGCCCGGGGTCCCCTCCACCAGGTCCAGCCCGGCCGCGCAACTGCCACACTCGGCCTCCCCGCCGCCGGTGCAGGTGGCGCAGCTGACCGCACACGGCTGGCAGGTCTCCCCATTGGACCAGGTCCCGGCCGGGCACGAGGCCACACAGGCCCCGGGCCCGGTCAGCACCAGCCCCGGCTGGCAGGCCAGGCACCGGTCCGCCGTGCAGCTCGCGCACCCGGCCGGGCAGGGCACACAGGCGCCCGTGGCCCCGGGCCCCGGGGCCGGCACCTCCCACCGGTGCCCGCCGGCACACGCCTGGCAGGCGGTCGCGGCGCCGGCGCACATGCTGCAGCTGCCATGGCACGCGGCACACCGCCCGGGCCCGGCATACTCGCCCGGCGAGCAGGCCGCCCCGCACAGGGACGGCACCTGCGCATCGGGGCTCAGGAAAACCAGCCCCGGCCGGCAGGCCGTGCAGGCGGCCCCGTCCGTGCACCCGGCGCACGACCCGTCGCACGGCCGGCATGCGGCCGCCGTCACATCCGGCCACCAGTTGCCCGGGCAGCCCGGCACACAGCTGCCCGCATGGTAGAGCAGCCCGGCCGGGCAGGCCGTGCACCGGCTCGAGCCGGACCCATCGCACTCCAGGCAGGTGGGGTGGCATGGCTGGCACATGGGCCCGAAGGTGCCGGCCGGGCAGTCGACCACCACCGAGAAGGCCACCAGCCCGACATGCGGCGCAAGGGCCACCAGCTCCAGCGAGTGCCCGGAGATGGGCGACGCGGCCGATGCCTGCGAGCCGGCCCGCGTCGAGGCCCCCGGCCCGGACACCCGCCACAGGGCCGCCGGCGACCAGAGAGCCTCGACGTGATTGCGTTGGATCTCCGCCGGCAGCATGGCGAAGGTGGCCGGCTGCAGGCTACACGGGCCCCGGTCCCCCAGGGGACAGTACAACACCGACAGCCCCAGGAAGGTCCGGCTCATCAGCAGCAGCGCACTCGGATAGTGCGGTCCGCCCAGGGGCAGGGCCAGGGCTTGGAATTGGCTGTTCGCCTGCCAGCCCGACCCGAGGGCCACCGGCTCCGGGAAGGTCCCCAGCACTTGGACATGGGTGTCCAGCTCGGTGGCGCGGCCGGCCACCAGCATGTCCCCGGACGCCTGGCGAACAAGCCACTCGGGCCCGGCGGTGTTGACGAAGACCAATTCACCGGGATCCGCGGCCTGCTCCCGGTGCCGGGGCAGGACCACCGGCACAAAGGCATTGTCCTGGCCCGGCAGCCCCGGCACCAGGGACCCCTCGACCGCCATCCGGCGCGAGTCGGCCCCCAGCAGCGCCCACGGCCCGGCGGTGGCCTGCTGCCACATGGTCGTCCAGACAAACCAGTCCCCCAGCCCCGGCGCCGCGCGGAGCCCGAGCGACGTGTGCACCGGCAGGACGGCCACCCCGGTGGCCTCCACCGGCTGGATGATCAACTCCATGGACCTGGGGTCCGCGCGGATGACATACACCTGGGCGTGGTTCGACCGCACGACAAGGGCATTGGCATGCACGCGTGCCATGCTGGAGCAATAGAAACCCGCGGACTTCGAGTATTGGATGGAATCCACCACACACGCGGCAGCCACATTGCAAGTCATCCTCAGCATATGGAGCTCGCCCGCGGGGTCGCACGCCATCACCCTATGCGTGGCCTTGCCATTGAACGCCAGCGGCCCGAGCTCGGCGGCCGACCTCAGCCATGTGCCGATCGGCAAGTTCAGCTGGCTGACCTGTCGCACGCGCGGGACATCCGACTGGATGTCCTGCGGCGATTCTTGGATGAAGGCGTCGCCGTAGCGCGAAAAAAGCAGGACCCCGGTCGGCGGGCCAGACGGCCGGGTCGAGATGAGGACCGCGTCCGCGTCGAGGTCCAACGATAGCCAGCTTTCATTCATGCTGGCCATGTCCATCGGGTCGGGCAAGTCCTCCGGCTGCGTCGGCTGCGGGACGGTCAGCTCGACCGTGGCCCGGGGCTGGCCGACAGGCTGGCAGGTACCGCTCACCGGGGCGAAGCCCATCGAGCAGGCTGTCACGCAGGTGGTCCTCTGGCTGTCGACATCCACCTGGTTGAGGAAGCCGCCGGCGCACACCAGGCAGTCCTCTTGGTCACAGGTGAGGCAATTGGGGTCGGTGCAGGCCTGGCAGGAATGGCTCTCATGCGAGAAGGGCGCCTCGTCTGTCGGGTCTTCGAGTGGGAGATTGGCGGCCGGGCGGGCGCGCACGCGCGCGGCCGGCGTGTGTCGATGAGAATGCGAAAGAACGTGAACATGGACAGGTCGCAGGGGGGAGGGGGGGGGGGACAAGGCGACAAGGAGCAGGGAGAGGGGGCAGGGCGCATGGACAGAGGTATTATGCACAAGGCGCATGGGGACCGGGCACATGCACGGGCCGCAGGGACATGGGCGCAGGCATAACAGCGACACCGAGGGCCAGGGGAGGGAAAAAATACCGGGCACACAGGCCCCAAGCCAAATGTCCGGCGCCGTGATGGCGTTCAGGGGCGTCAGCAGAAGAAAGCAGGCGGCGAAAGCCCCACAGCCCCCCTCCCGGGCAAGAAGCGCACGCACCTGGCCCTCGCTCCAGATAGTGCCTCGAGACACAGCCGGCGCACAGGTGAGCGTCCGACACGAAGGGCGACATCGCCTGGCCCGGAGCACATGCCCAGCCGCGGGCCAATTCATGGAAGCGGTCCTCCCTCTCGCAACGGATGGTCCAATCATCCTCACAGCCGAGGGCCTTGTCATCGAAGAGCACCGTCGACCCGGACACCAGGTACCACGGGTACGTCGGCCGGTCCGAAGTGTGAAGCCGAGCCAACTGCAGGCCGGCCGGCTGGTTGAAGCCCCTCGGCAGGATGACCGCCCGCTTGGCCAGCGTGTCACTCTCCATGGAGTACATCCACACCCGGTGGAGCGGATCGGTGGCATTCGGCACAATCAAATAGAAGAACTTGGCCAGGTTGGGCGATACGGCATCGACCGGGGGGGCCAGGAGCCGCACCCCTTCCAGCGGCAGGACGCTCGGCAAACTCACCGACACATAATCACGTATGCTGGTCGGAGTGAAGCAAGTGAGTACAGCCAAAATGCCATCCTTTTGTACGATGATGACATCGGCCCCATCCGGACAGCTTTCCTGGGTGGAGGTCAACCGCGTGGCGGCAAGGGCCAGGATGGTTCTGCTGGAGGGCCATGAGCGTACGTGCACCTGCATCGAGCTTTCCAGCGCGATGTGCACGACATCCTTGCCGACAGACATGTAGAAGGACTGGTGCATGCCGGGCACGGCCAGGCCCGGGCCCAGAAACGCATTGGGTGCAGAGACTGGCAAAGCCAAGGGCCCGGCCCCCGACAACCTGGCCAAGTACACCGAGCGCGTGGCGTCCGGGTCCCCGATGAGGCCCAGCAGGATGACCTCCCGGTCGGCAGTACCGGCCACAGCGGCCAGCAGCTCGGTGCTCGGGGCCGGAAGGTCGAATACCGTGGTGCCATCGAAGTATGCCACCTCCTTGTGAGTATACTCCACGACCGTGGGTTCGGGGTTGTTGACGCTCAGGACAAAGAACAAGCCCCCGGAGCTGGACAAGCCCGACCGCGGCCGCGTGATCGATTGGAACTCCCCGGCGAAGAAGGGCCCCCAGCGGACCTCCTGCAGGTCCTCCAGCGAGTCCCGCTGGGTCTTCCTCCTAATGACATCGTCGGAAATCCGGATGAACGCCGTGGAGAAGCCGTCATAGTGCGTGCGCAGGAGGGCCGGCTGCGAGTCGTGCAGCAGCTGCCACGGCGCCGCGTACAGGAAGACCTCCTGCTGGTGTGAGGGCCTCACCGAGAGCCCGGCCGCCAGCAGCAGGGTGACCAGCAGCAGGACCATGCGTGACATGAGCGCCGGCCGACGCCGGGCCGGCGTGTTCCGGCCGGGTCGGCTCTCGCGCCGGGCCACTGCCAGCATGTCGGCCCTTGGGCTGAAGGTGGGCGCCGGGCGCGGGTGTCCAGGCGGCGAGCGACGGGCAGGCCAGCAACCAGACAAGGGGCCCGGCAGCCGGTGAGCGGTTCAAGGTGCGGCAGAGCACCAAACAGGGGGCGGGGGGCGCAAAGGGGGGCCGTGTGAGGGGGCAAACACGGGCGAGGGCAAGAGGCGAGGGCAGGGACATTGCACGGCACCGGGGCCCGCCTGGGCCCGGGGGTACCTGCATTTGACAGACACCCCCGGTCCAGGAGCGGGAGGGCGCGGCGGGGCAAGCACACTCGACGGGGAAAGGGCAAGAGAAGGGCCGGCCCCCCCCCCCCCCCCTCCCCCCAGACAGCCACCCGCTCGGCCGGCCGGGAATGCGTGTGGTCGGCCGAACGGCCGCGGCGCCCCGCCCGGCGAAGGGCGCTGCTCTTCCCACGGAAGCCTCGCGCCGCCGATTGGGGCAGGACGCCCCCGGGCGTTTGGACGGCGCGCCCCTTCTGTTTTTTATCGCCGCTGCTGCTCCTACTGTTGTGGCTCTTCCCGGGCGACATATTACACCTGGCGCGGATGCTTTTCACATGTGCGGGCATTTTTCCCGCCTGTTTCAGCGCTTCCTGCCCGGCGGGAGGGGCCGACGCTTCCGGCGCGCCGCCCCCGCCCCTGAGCTTGGAATGGGCACCAAGCCGGTCTGAATCATCCGGCGGAATGCGTGCGTCAACGGAGAAACGACCCCTCCCGTGGCACCTCATCAAAAGACCCGCGCACATGCTTCCCGGACGGGAAGGCTCGGGGCCGATCTTCCGCCACTCGCTCCCCTGCGCCCTCCCTCCCCTGAGCACGCGCGTCTCGCGCTGTGTGTGCCGCGCCCGGCCAGATGCCGCGGGAGCCCGCCCGGCCTTCGCGGCCGCGACCCCCCCCCCCGCCATGGGGCCCGGACTCGTTGGGAGGCCATCACCAGAACAGGCTCTGTACTTGGAGAACGGCGCTGGCACGTTGGCACCCGGGGCGAGCGCGCTGCGCATCTATGCCCGTGCACGCCGCCACTGCCAACCCCGGGGGCTGAGACCGAGCACAAGAGCCGGGGCCTCCGCAGCCAGGCCGGACGCCGGTCCGGCACTCCGCCTCCCCTCGCCCCGGCTCCCCGCGGCTGCCCATAGCCTGCCATGTGCATGCCGCCGTCCCGTGCCTGCCTCCTGGGCCGGGCTGTCGATCGCACCCCGGCCGGCGGCCCCCAGGCCGAGCGGCGTGCGACCAGGCACCCCGGCCACCGCCGTTGGTGAGCCCATCCGCCGGCGCAGGCTCGGTGCCGCCAGCAAAGCCCTCGCGCGCGGCCGACTGGGTGGTGGATCTCGCGCACGCGCGCGCACACGCGCAACTGTCCACGGGCCTACCCTTGGAGATCGAGGGGGCACGCACGACCCGCCTGCCGCGTGGGACACGCGTGCCAGGGCCGCCGGGGGGTGCCACCCACCAACCGAATCGACGTGCTGCCCCCTCCCCCTCCCACGCCAACCAGCGCTCCGGACGCGCACCATGCCCGGGCCGCCTGTCGGCCGCGCAACGGACACCTCCCCGGGCCCCGGCCGCAAGGGCTGAGGCAAGCGACGTGGCACCCGCCCCGCCTGCGCCGGCCGGCGACACCAACGCCAGCACCCTGCCCCCCTCCGCCTCGTCCGGCCGGTGGATGGATGCTGGATGCCCGGCCAGGCCCGGCATGGGGACGCCTGTGCGCCGCAATGGCGCCCCCATCTCGCGCACCGCCGCCCGTCGCCACGGCCCCGCGGCACCGGCGCCCCGCCTGGCAGCGCCTCCCGCACACACACCCGCACACACACACACACACACACACACACACACACACACACACACACACACACACACACACACACATACCACGAGCATCTTGCCCAGTGATGTCGGGTGTCGCCAGCGCCGGGCCGCCGGCACTCAGCACGGCTGCCGGGGCCGCAACTACGCCCGGCAGGCCGAGCTCTCGGTCGGGCGGCTCCCGCAGCCCCGGACGCCCGGGGGGGGGGGGCCATCCACCGGCAACTCCGCTCGCCCTGCAGCCTGGCCCGCGCCGCCCGGCGACCGCGGCGAACCGCACGCCGGGGGACACGAGCCGCTGGGCCCCACGTCAACCTCCCTGCCCTGGCGGCGGCCCCGCTCGCAGCGCCCAGGCCCAAGATCCCCCTTTGAGCGGGCTCGCCCCTGGAGCCGGTGCGCGCGCATGCCCGCCCCGCCACTGTCTCTCGCAATGCACTCGCCCCCTTTGGTTCGACCAAGCCCCCCCCCCCCTCGCCCTCGGACGCAGGAGTACTGTGCTCCGAAGCACCGGCGGTGGGGGCCGCCATGCGCCAGGACCCGGGCGCCCATGATGCGCCCGGCCCGGCTCCAAGTAGGGGGAGGAGGGAGTGCGGGCGTGCCAGGAGATTCCCCTCCCTTGGGACCGTGGCGGGCCGTGGCCCCCGCTTCGCCAGCCGCCTGGCACCGGGGCCAGCGCGGCCGGCCTGCTGCCGCCCCACGCCACCAGCCCATGTCGGCCACAGTGCATGCCCGATTGGCGGCTCGAGCGGCGCGCCCCGCGACGCATACGCCCCACCGGCGACCAGCGAGCTGCGCGCGCCGAGCCAGCACCGCGCGCCACGCCGCCCCCCTGCCGGCGGCCGACCTGCCGGCCGACGGCCGTCGAACCGGCACCCGCCCTGGGCGCGCGCACGTGCGTGCGTGCGTGTGTGTGTGTGTGTGTGTGTCAGCTGCTGGCGCAAGGTCCCCGCTCGACGCCCGGGCGGGGCCCACGCCCGAGGAAGCCGGCCCCCGGCCATCCTGGGCACCTTGAGAGGGGCATTTCCGCGCCCGGGGGTGCCCACTGGCGCACCCCCCCCCCTCCGGACAGGCGGCCTCCCGCTGGGCAGCGGCTCGGGCCATGGCAGGCGCCTATCCCGTGCGCCTGGCGCTGCCCATGCCAGCCCGCAGCCCTTCTCGCGATCCCGGCATCCCGGGCGCGTGCACTCGAATAAACACCAAACCAGCCCATGTCACCGCGCCCGGCCGCCCCAGGCGCCGACATTCCGGCCACGGGCGGTGCGCCTGGCCCTCGGCCGTGCTCCCGCGAATGAGTCCCCCGCCGGGTGTGCCCGGGCGTCGCCATTGACTGGGCGGCTCGGGGCCCTTCCCACCGGGACCGGGCCACTGCCAAGCCCCCGCTCGCGGCCGCCCACCCATGAGAGCACGCCCGCCGGGCATGGCCGCGCCTCGGCCGCAGGGCGGGCTCCCATCCGGACCGCCGGGGTTGTCCCCCTGTGCCGCGCGCCGGGGCACTTGCTGTCGAAGGACCTCGGCCGCCGGGCCAAACGACGGCCCAGCCATGCGCCCATTGCCGGCCTCCCCTGCCCCGGCGCCGGTCCCGGGCCATGCCCCGCCCCGTGGCTTCCGGCCCTGGGACACCGGTCCTAGGGAGGCGAGGCGGCCGCGCCACGCCGCGCCGCGCCGCGCGCAAGCCACGGCTCCCGGCACGCGGGCGCCGCTCGGCCCGTGCCGCTCGCATCCGGCGCCAACGACCGCCCCGCCCCGGCCACCCCGCGATGGGCGGCTCGGCGGCCGAAGTCCGGTGCACACACACACACACGCACACGTCTCGCGATGGGCCCCGCCAGACCGCCCCCCTGGGCCATGCGGAGCCCCTTCGTGCGTTGGCACACCCGCGTATCACATGCCGGTGGTCATGGGAAGGGCCCGAGCGCCGGAAAAGCGCCATTATTTAATACATATCAAGCTGAATATTGAAAAGGTGCCATCGGCCAGGGGGGGCAGAAGAAACAGCGCCGGACGCAACGCACCCCCCGGGGGCGCCGGACGGGGCCCGGGTATGAGAGCCGCCGGGGGCTCGCACTCGGGCGGCGACCGCCCGCGCCATTTGTATTTCACCCCCATTCCCCCCGCCTCCATTCGGACCTCCTCGCCCCTCCCTTGGCCCTCCTCCGCGGGTCCCCTGCCCGTGCCCCGGTCCGCGCCTCGGCGAGCCCGGCTGCCAGGCTGGCCATGTACCCTGCCCCCTTCGGGAAGCCCAGGCCACGGCCAGGGAGATGAGCAGGTGGCCCCGGGTCCCGCGGGCGCGCGGCCCTCCGGCCGGATGCCGCCCTCGGCGTGGCGGGACCCGGCCCGCACCCCGGACGGCTGATCGGCCGACCGACCGGTCGGCCAGCACACGGGCGGCCATGTCCTGCTGATGGCCACCCGGCCACCCTCCTCACCGGGGCGAGTCCCTGCGCGGCGCCGGTGCCGCCGTCGATGCGCGCGCCCGTGGCTGGCCACCTCCCTGGCCGCGTGCTTTGCCGGCGATGCCGGCAGCATGACGCATGGCGCTCCGGGCCACCGCCGACCCTGCGTTGGCCGCCGGCCCCCGCGCCGGGCGCAACGCCCCGGGCCCCGGTCACTCGGGCAACCTTCGGGCCGCCCGCCCGCCCGCGGCAAGGGTCCCGGCAAGGCACGAGGGCCCGACAGGGGGCGGCGTGCGAGCCGGCTGTCCGCCCTGCGCGCGCGGCCGCTACCGGCCGGGCCTGCCCCACCTCTTGCGGGGGGACATGCCCCCCCCCCCCCCCCCATTGGCGCATCGCATCCTGGACGTGGGTGCCGGGACACGCCTCGTCATCCCGGCCAGGACCCTCGATCCCGGGGCATGCGCTGGTCCCGGGCGCCGGTGGGGCCGATCGCTCGCACATGCAAGTGGCCGCCGCCCGCGCGCCCCCATGCAAGCGGGCGCATTCTCCCGTGGCGCCTCGCACCCCGCGGTGACCCGATTAGACGCGGTGGCCGGGGCCGGGCACGCCGCGCGCAAAGGCGTCGGCGCCCGGCGCGGCCCTCAGGCCCGTTGCCTGCGGGCCACGCACATGCGGCACCCCGCTGAATGGGGTGCCCTGTCGCGATGACCCCCCTGAGGCCATTGCCCTTTCCCCCCGCTGGCTCGTCAATGCCCATCGGCTGGCGTGGGGGACGCCCCTCCCTCCGGGCCCAGGGGCGCCGTCCATGGGGGGCCCAGTCCGACCGGCGAATCGCGGCCATCCGGCTCCGCGGCCTGCTCCCAAGGCGTCCGGGACGCTCGATTCCTTCCTCCCCCCGCCTGATGAAGGTCCCGCTGCGGGGGCCTCGCGCGCCCGGGCGCGCCGGAATGCCCGGGTCCCCTGGCCGGACAAACGGCCGCCCCCCACCACCCATGGCCGACGGATATGCTCATGTGTGACGAGCCGCCGGCGGGCATCGATCTGCACGTCGGGCGGGCGTCTTCGCGTCCCGCAGTGCCAGATGGCGCCGCGGCCGCCGCGACCGAGGGGCCTCTCTCTCTCTCTCTCTGTGCATGTCCCCCCCTCCCGATGCAGACACACCACACCACGAAGCCGCTCCTCGGGGCGGGGATGGCCGCGGCCCGACGCGCTGGGCGGGGGGGGGTCCCGGTCGCGCCATCCGGCCCACCGTCGGCTGCGTTCGCTCGGTCCCCCGAGGCCGCCTCCCTTGGGTCCGGCCGGTGGGCAGCTGCCTGGCCCGGGCCGCGGCCCATCGTCGCGGGCCGATCCGACGCCAGCAAGCGCGGCCCCGCCCGGCGGGCCACGTCCGCTGGCCCCACACCGGCCGTGGTCCCTCCTGCTCGAGGGGCGTCGCCATGCGCCACACGCCCGGGCCCGTGGTGCGCCTCGACGCCCCGGTCCTTGGGGGATCCCCCCGCCAGCCCCCCCTTGGCCGGCAGCTCACCGCCCTCCCCCCTCTGGCGCCATGTCGACACTGGGCGCTCGCCATCGTGCCGCCGGCTCGCCCGGCAGGTGGCCACCCTGCGCTCGAAGTCGAGCCCCCACTCCCCGCCCTGGCGCGGGTCGATCCTCGCCCTGCATCCTGTGCCAGCCTGAAGCTGGGGCTTGCGCCGGGCGACCGTGCGGCCCGCCGCCACCGTCGCAGGGCCGCCAGGCACGGCGGCACCATGCGCAAAGGTCCCCTCCTCCTCGAGCAGCCCCGCGGCCGGGCCAGCGAGGCCTTTTCTTGGGCCCGGGTGCCCCTGCCTCGTCGACCGAGCTCCACCAGCCGGCACACTTGCGGCCCGTCTCCCTGGCCCCATCTCCCCCTCAGGCCGCCTCTCCCCGGCTCGGGCCGGGCCCTGCCCTGCGGCCAGCCGCCACCCTGGCCGCGAAGCAGGTCACGCGCCCCCGCCGGATGGCTTCGGGGATGCCTGGCCCCGGCTGCCGGTGTCCCCGGGAATCGGCCCCCTCGTGGGGCCCCCCGCGGCGTCGCTGGCCGGCACAGGCGGCGCCCTGGCTCGAGCGCAAGCCCCCGCATGACCTACCTGCCCCGAGGCTGCCGCGCACCTCCGGCCCGCTCGCGGACACGAGGGGCGCATTCTCCCCCTGCGGCCTCCTCCCTGCCCGGGCCGGGTGCCCGTGCGTCCGGCCGTCCCGCCCCCCGGGCCCGCGGATGCCAGGCCGGCGCCCGCCGGCAGGCACACCCTGCCAGCGCCGGGCGCGGCGATCTCGGCCGCAGGGATGGGCACGCCCCGGGCGCGCGTGGCTCTTGCGACATCGCGTCCGGCCGAGTCACCCCGCCGGATGTCCCCCCTCCGCGCCCTCTTGCCAGCGGCCCCCCAGAAACCGGCTCTCTTGGGGCGGACTCGCCGGGCGGCACCCCGCCCTCTGGCCGCCTCCTTCTCGTCCGAACCGCCTTCTCCTTGCGGGCCCGGAGACGGCCGGCCGACTCGCCTGCTCCCTGGCAGCTGGCCGGCGCGTCGCGTGGGAAGGCGTGTCCCGTCGGGCCGCCGAGGGTCCCAAGTGCGGCGCGACCATCCGGCGATGCGAGCTCCGCGGCGCCGGGCCACCCGAGCGCCCCTTGGCCGCGAGGCTGGGCGCCGCCTGGCCACCAGTCGGCCATACGGCCCGGCCAAGGCGGCCCCCGAGATGCATGCCGGGCTGGGCCACCAGCGGCCGGGCGAGCCGGGCCGCCGTTCGGCCTGGCTGCCGCCGCCGGGAGGGTCCCTCCGGGAGCCGAGCGCCTCGAGCCGGCCTGCGCCCGGACCGGTTCCGGTCGAGAGGATGCCCTTGTGCCCGCTGTGCCGCGCCCGTGCCCGCCCGTGCGCCCCCCCCCCCGTCCCGCCGGCAGCGAGCCCCGTGCGAGCCGCCTGGCTCCACGCCCCCCGGGCCGGCCAGCACCCGGCGCGCCGTCCCGGCCGGGACGCGAAGACTGCCGCCGCGCATGCTGCCGACCTGGGTGCAGCCCCCTTCACATTCACGCCCCCGCCACCCTATGCGCACCCGCGGGCCCCGCTTGCGCCGATCGCAAAAAACCCCGGCGCGGATGGCTGCGGCTGGGGCCAAGTGCGCTGGCGTGTGTGCGTGTGCGCGCGCGCGCGCGGCTGGGCCTCGAATCGCGGAAAGGCCCCCGGGCATGGTCCCCGGCCTGCACTGGCGCCACCGTCCCCGGCGGACGCCCACCCGGCAGGGTGGATGATCCCCCGGCCGGGGTGTTCCCCCCGGCGGCGTGCCAGGCGGCCGCCCCCCCACCCCAGGCGGCTGGCGCCACTGGCGCCCGGCCGGCTCCCTGCCTGCCGGGCATGCCCCTGCTGCCCTCCCTGCCTCGGAGGGCATGGTCGTGCTGCTGCGGCCTCTGCCTCGGGGGCTGTCCGGTCAGGTGGCTCGCCCGGGCCCGGGCGGGGCGCTCGAGCTGACGCAACCCGCGCGCCATCACAATGCGCCTCGGCCACGGCCGGTCCCCGGGCCGGGGCTGTGGTCCGCGGCTGGGCCGACGGCCGACTCCGTCTCGACGTGCCAGCCCACCGCCCCGCCCGGGGGTGTGGAGTGGGCCCGGCCGGGTGGCAACGCTGCGGCTGCCGCGGGGGCGCCTCCCCCCGGTGGCCGGTGTGGGCCGCGCGTCCATGCACGCCGGGGTGGATGCCATGCCGCCGGCCTCGCGCGGCCACCCCGCGCGCCAGCGTGCCACCCAGACGGCTGGCCTCGCGCGGGAGCGCACGCCGGCCGGCGCCCTGGCAGCCGGACACACGGCCTGGTGCCTGGTCTCGGGGCCGGGGCCCGGGGCCCGCGCCGGTGTGCCTGCCGCGGCCCGGCCGCCCGGCACCAAAGCGCGCACCGGCGCCCGGCATGTGCGCGCCCCTTGCCAGGCGGCCCTCGGGTGCCCCTGGGTCTTTTGCGATCTCCTCTCGGCCGTCGGTTGGCCTGCCTGGCCTCTTTGGAGGCCATGCCTTTGGCTGCGACCATGAGGACAATCCGGGCGCCTCGCCCTCCGCCGGGCTGCCTGCCCGCACGCTCCGTGTGTCGACTCCCCCTCCCGCCCTCTCTTCGCCAGCTTGTAGGGCGGGGGGGGCATTGTCATGGGTCTTGCTCCGCTCCAGGGTCGGCGCCGGTGGCTCCGCGCGCACCCGCCGGCGGCCCCGGCGTGGTGCCCAGCAAGCAGCCGACGGCCGACGCCCTGCGCCCCCTGGGGTAGCCCCTCCTGCACAATGGGCCCGCGCCACGCGCTGCCCACTCGCTCAAGCGTCCCGGCGCCCGGGGGTTCCCCAGGCAGGCCAGGCCAGGCACTCCCGGGCGCGAGAAAAGACCAGCCCCCCTCCCCGGGGGACTCGATGCGCGGGCGATCCGCGTCAAACTGCGCCCTCGGGCGTGTGTATATGTGTGTGTGTGTGTGTGCGCATGCCTATAGGGCTGCCTGTGGGCGCGCGTGTTCGGGCGGCCGCACGGGAAACGCTCCTTCGGCCTTTGGGCGCACGGCATCCCGAGCCATGTGCCCCCCCCCGGGCGCGCTCGTCGGACACCCAAGCAGGGGGGAGGGGGCCGCACCGAGTCACGGGCAGGGCCCCGCCAGCCGCGGGCCGCCACCCGCCCGGCGCACCGCAGGCAATGTGCGCCGGTGTGCGTGTCGGACAAGCAGCCGGGGCGCACGGCCTTGTGGGGCCCTGGGGCGCCGTGCACATGCCCGCCGCCCGCCTTGCCGGCGCCCGCATGCCGGCCGGTGCCGGGCGACCCACTGCGAAGGAGGGCCCGTGAGGCGGGGCACCCGAGAGAAGGGGCGCCCGGGGGCCGCGCTGTCCGATGGAAAGCCCACTCCCGCCGCCCCCCCTCCCCCCCCCCTTGGGACGGCCGTGGCGCCGTCTCAGCCCACCCTGAGGCCCGGGCGAGGGGCGGGCCGCCCGGTCACACAGCGCGCCAGGGGGTGCCTGGCGGTGGCGAAAGACCGCACCGGGTCCAGAGCCGCGGGCGAGCCCCATCGCGTCGGCCTGCCCCGGGGCCCGGGCGAACACCCCATGCTGGGCCCTCACCTGCGCGTGATGCTGGCGGCCGCGCGGCCGACCCCCGCCCCGGAGCGTGAGGAAAAAAAAGGGCCGGGGCATGCATTCAACGTGCGCGGTGTGCCGGCAGCCCGGGGGCCGGCGCCTGCGCAGGTGGCACCGGCCCACGCGCCGGCTCGCCTCCAGCGGGCAGGACCCCGCACGCGCCCCACCCGGCTCGTCGGGGCCCGGGTCCACGCGCCGGCCCGTGAAAGCGCAACCAGGCTGCCCTCCTGTGCGGCGGCGGTCTGCCCGGGGGACCGTCGGCCGGGGCGCGGTCACGCCCGAAAAACAGGAAGCCCCCCCCCCTCCCCCCCCACGCCGACACACGCGCACACACGACCCGAGCATCCGACCCCCACCCGCCCCCGGGTGACGGGTCGGCAAAGATGCGGCGCGCGCGCGCGCGGCGCACACGGTCCCCTGCACCAGCCCGGGATGCGGGCCGCGCACGCACACACACGCGGCCTGCCCTCGAACAGCCAACACCGCCCCCCCCCCCCCCACGCCACGCCTGCCCCCGCGCCAACAGCCAGATCCCAACGGTCCCGCTCGCGTGGCCCCCCATGGGAAACCGCCCCCGATGGCCAACTGCCCCGCCATCCTGGTCCCATTCATTTGTTTACTGGCGCGCGGGCTGGCCACGGTCGGCTGGGCCGCGCGAGGGCGGCCGCCGGGTCGGGCACGCGCCTCGTAGTTGCCCCCATGCGTGGAGAGGTTGCGACAATCTCCCCAGGGGCCAACTCGCGGTAGGCGGCGCCGACCGGCAGCCCTCCTCCCCTGAATGAAGGGCCACACCACAGGCCCGGCTCTGCCGGCTGGCGTGTGGCCACACCTCGAGCAGCCACTCTCGCCCGGCACTCGGCCGGGGCTTCGGCCTGACCGCGGCCCCAGCGTGCCGGCCAGGCCCTGCACCCTGCACCGCAAGAGCTCGGCACCAAAGACAGCGGCAAGCAGCGCGAGCGCACACCTGCCTCCCGAGGCCACCCCCGGCTGTGGCCTATATATATATATATATGGCCGTGCTCCGGACCAGCCCATTGCCCAAGGCCGCTCCACCGTCCCAGCTCCCCCCCCCCCCCCCCGAATCCCCCTCCCTCACACACACACGCACGCACGCACGCACAACAGCCCGCTGTCCGGCGCTCGCAGCCTGCACTCCCCACAGCGCAGCACTCCACAGATGCGGCCCCTCCCGCTGTGGCAGCGCGCGCTGGCCCTGCTGGCCATGCCGCTGCTCGTGGTACTCCTGCACCTGTCCGGGGTCTCAAGCTCCAACGACCAGACCAATGTCTATCTTATTCCCTCGCCTCGGTCCTTTGGTCAAACCAACATGGGCTTTGGGTACTACCTCCCAAATGAGAAGATGGTTGCTCTCGATCAATATTATGGCGACTACACCACATACAAACAGTCCCTCAAACTTGACCTTTTCGGGGACATGCGTCTTGGGGTTCATTTCTCTGATGATGCCAGGACAATGTTCTTTTATGGGGTCTCCGGCTATACCCTGCTCCTGCCTGTCCCAAATGACCTGCCGGTCCTGGTCTGGCTGGACAACCGCACCCTCGGCATCTCCTCCTCGACAGCTGTGTATCCGTACGAGTTTTTCCCAGGGCAGCCTGTCTCCCTATTGCGTGCCAATGCCCATGGCCCCCTCGACGCGTCGGTTCTCCTGCGCCTCGGCAACGACACCCTGGTTCTCATGCGCTTTCAAAATGAAGTATGGACTCGCAGTGAACTGCCATTGTCTGCGACCACCGCCACGCCCGGCCTTCCCGGCCACTTCTTTCTGACTACCCCGGGCAACGAGTGGGTGTGGCTCCGGGATAATGGCACCTGGCGTACCATCTCCACCGGGGACGAGGCAGTCCTCAGCCTGTCGGCCACCCGCATCATGACCACCGACCCCAGCAAGATGGATCTGCTGGTCATCACTCCCCGGCGAATGCTCATCTACATTGGCTTGGGCAGCAACAGCACCTGGGAGCGAATCCTGGACACCATGCTGCCCACCGATCGCCAGGACCTGTCAGCTCAGCTGATCCCCGGAGTTGTCCACACGCCGCGTCCTCCGGGGTTTTTCTACCTTGTCAATCGGCCCTCACAGCTCTGGCGTGTGACGCCCCTCACCGGCGACGGCATGGCGTGGCAGCACATGGGCTCATATACACTCCCTGTCACGCCGATCCAGAGCATGGTGGCCATGGATTTGAGTGCCCTGCCCGGTGGCCGAGGGGAACAATGGGCCCTTACGCACGGTGACAAGCTATTAATGACCAACGAGGAGTTCGGCTGTCACACCGATGCCTCCATTGTCTGCGACCCCGCTTCGGGCACCTGGGGATGTGCCCCCGGTCGTCGCTACTCGCCACTCCGCACTGCGGGCGAGCTGTGTGCTGGCTGCGCGGATGGCTTTTACCCTGTCATGGTGGGACCCCGACGCCGTGCGTGCTTTTATGGCCCAATCCCACTCCTTTCAAGCGCACTAACACGTTTCGTATACAGGTGAGTGTCGCCCTTGCACGGTGGACTACTGCCGCGTGTGTGCCGACAGCGGGCACTGCCTTGCTTGCTCTCATGGCTTTCTGCTTCGCGACCCCGCCGGCGGCCGTGCCACTTGCGTGCCGGCCTGTCCGCCAGGAACCATCAGCTCCGGCGAGGAGTGTGTCCCCAATACTTTGCCCGAGATCAAGATCGATGTGTCGAGTCCAATCACATTATCGTCTGGATCGATGGGCCTCATGACATTCTCGCGTATGTATCTCAGAAACAACCGGTTGTATGTTTCCAGCACGTCCTTGTCAACGAGTGGCCCTGGCTCCCTGCTAGTTGTACTTTCGTCAGGCCAACTTGTCTTGGGCAATGCCGATCAGCTGCGTGTCACTCCCCTCCAGCCACTACAGGTGGCCCCGATTACGGGCCTCCCTACTTTCACTTTTGTCAATGGACTTCTTGAGAGTATCCATGTCGCTGGACGTGATGTGCAGGTTGAAATCGAAATTCGTGAGACGTACTCAGTGACCCGAGTGCTTTTGACCTGCACTCTCCCTGGCCTTGCACCCAATGACGAGTGTCAGTTGGCGGTCGCATCTGGCACCCTCTCAACGGCGGTCTCGGCCGAGGTGGACATTCAATCGGCATCGCCCCCCGGGGTGTCCTCAATTTCCGTGGGCCCATATCCGACTGAGCAGCTCTTTGTCGAAGCTAAGCCCACGACCACGATCAAGCAGTGGGACCATGCAGAAGCTCTCATGTCAGAATGGAGGTATTCTTTTGACTCACGGTGGGTGCTATTCGCGTGTCCCCTCGACCCTCAGACCGCGGATGTCGATTCGCGCTGCATGAATGACGACGGCTGGCACGCAGCGACAGGTGGTACATTGGCCGCCTCGGTCCCTGGTTTGCCAGCCAAGATTGTGCCAGGCGACGAATGGTTTGCCGTAGCAATGCCAACAGGCCGTTCTCTTGGAGGAAGGACTCATGACATTGTCCTCGTGGGACCCGTCAATACACCTCAGGGGCGTTACCTGGCGGCAAAGCACATCTCCCACGGTGGGGATGCCCAGGCCCGCACCCGCGACATCACGGGCTCTGGTCGCTTGATCGATGGAATTTCACAGTATACTCGAAGTTCCTTCTATACGGTCCTGGATCTCCATGATGTTGGGCATCCTGAATACCCCAGTGCCCTGGTCGTGGTCGAATCAGGCACATTGGTGGTGATTCTGCTGTATTGCCCAGTCCACTTGCCGTGTCACCTTGGTCCTGCACGGATGGCATCTATTCCGTTCGATCATACATCATTGATTGCAGTGCTCACCGTCCCACCACCACTTGCCAGTGATAAGCCAACTATGCTATCTTTACTTGTCAGTCGAGGGAATAGCTCTTCCAGCGTCTGCTTTCGAGTGGACTTTGGCCTCGATGAATGCCCCCCTCGGACGTATGGGGCCACATGCCTTCCATGCCACGCTGCCTGCCAGACGTGCACCGGCCCGGCATCCACGCAGTGCACGTCGGCCCGGTGCACGTATTTCCTGCCCTCGCTGCCGAACAACTGTCTGGCGGCCTGCCCGGCCGGGCTCCATGCCGACGCCTCGGGCGCCTGCCGGTGCCATGCCAACTGTGAGGCCTGCCACCGGCCGGACGCAAGCGGCCCATTCATCTGCACTGCCTGCCCGCCGGGAATGGCCTTGAGCTCCGGGACTGCCGATCGCTGTGCGCCCTGCCACAGCTCGTGTCTCGAGTGCACGGCCCCGGCCAGTGCGACCGCCTGCCGGGCTTGTCCCAGCGGCATGCTCCTCCGGCCTGACGGCACGTGTGGCGGCACCTGCCCGCCGGGGACCTGGGGCGACACGCGGCTGGGTGTCTGCACGCCCTGCTCAGCCGGCTGTCTTACCTGTGAGAATTCCTACTCGTGCACCGCCTGCCGGCCGGGGCATCTCCGTGAGACGACCTTCGGCATGTGTCTCCGGTGCGATCCCCAGTGCGCCGAGTGCGCCGGCGCCCTGGATGCGTGTGTTGCCTGCACGCCGGGCATGCATTGGGTCGGGGGGGTGGCCCCCAGCCCGGCCGGCGCCACCGGCGCATGCACCAAGTGCCCGGTGGGCTGCGCCACGTGCGACGACCACAACAGCAAATGCTTCACCTGCACGGCCGGCTACCTGCTGCTGGCCGGGCCGGGCCAGTGTGTGCCCGCCTGCCCGGACGGCATGGCGCCCGATGCTGCGCAGAGGAACTGCCTCAGCTGTCATGCTACATGCACCAAGTGCTCGACCCCCGCGGACCCGAGTGCCTGCACCGCCTGCCCGGCAGGCCGTGTTCTCCATGTGGACGGGCGGTGCATGGCTTCCTGCCCGACGGGCTTCTACCCCTTGGCCGGGGTGTGCACCAAGTGCGGGGCGGGCTGCTCGTCGTGCGCCTCGGCTGGGACTTGCGCGGAGTGTGCCCCGCAGCGCTTCCACCAGGGGGATGGCTCTTGCGACCTGTGCCATGCGTCGTGCGCCGCGTGTGCCAGTAGCACGGCCTGCACCGCCTGCCGGTCAGGGCTCTTTTTCCTGTCGCCCACGGCCCAAACCCCGTCGCTGTGTAGCTCGACCTGCCCGGCCGGCAACTATGCCGCAGCCGGCCGGTGCCAGCCGTGCGCCGCCAGCTGCGTGCTGTGTGCCGGCGCGGCGGACCGGTGCCAGGTGTGCGCGGCCGGCCACCGGTGGCGTGCCGAGCCGCCGGCCGTCGGCCAAACCGACACGTGCGTCCGCTGCCCGGATAACTGCGCCTCCTGCACCGGGGACATGTGTCTGGATTGCGAGGCGGGCTTCTTCCTGACGCGCCAGGGGGCCTGCGTGACTGCCTGCCCGGCTGGGACCTGGAAGGACCAGGCCACCGGCTCGTGCCAGCCCTGTGCCGCCAGCTGTGCCACATGCACCGGGCCCGAGTCCGGCAAGTGCACCGCCTGCGTGCCGGGGCTCCAGCACCAGCCGGGGCCGGGCGGCGGGCCGGGCCCCTGCGTGGCCTCCTGCCCGGCCGGGCAATTCCGCCACACCGCGTCGCAGGAGTGCCGGGCCTGCCACGGGTCGTGCGCCACATGCACCGGGCCCACGGACCGCGACTGCCTGGCATGCACCGGGTCGGTGCTGCAGGATGGCGCATGCGCCCGGGCCTGTGCGGCCGGCCATCTGGCCGTCGATGACCGGTGCCTGCCCTGCCACCTGTCGTGCGGCCAGTGCATCGGGCTCCGGAGCACCGAGTGCACCGAGTCCTGCCAGGCCCGGCTGCTGCCCCAGCCGGCCGGCGAGTCGCCGATGCGCTGTGTGGCCAGCTGTGCCAGCGGGTTCCATGCCTCGTCGACCGGCTGCACCCGCTGCCCGGAGGGGTGTGCCGCCTGCCCGGACGATGCGGGCCACTGTGCCCAGTGCGAGCGGTCGCACCGGCTGCTGGATGGCGCGTGTGTGCCCACCTGCCCGCAGGGCACATGGGAAGATGGCAACCGGTGCACCGCTTGCCACCCCTCCTGCATCAGCTGCTTCGGGCCGGACCCGACGCACTGTGACATCTGCCACGCCGACACGCCGCTCAAGAAGGACAGCTCCTGCTACGAGACCTGCCCGGCTGGGACCTACGAGAAGGGCAACAATTGCATGGCCTGCAGCAGCTCCTGCGCCCAGTGCCTCGGGCCCGGCAGCAACGAGTGCACCGCCTGCCCGGAAGGCCGCGCGCTCAGTGCCCAGGGCATGTGCGTTGGGGAATGTCCGGTCGGGCAGTTTGCCACCGACGGCGCCATCGGCCAGGTGTGCCGGGCCTGCTCGGCCAGCTGCCGCCAGTGCGATGGCCCGGATGCCGACCACTGCACCGGCTGCCAGGATGACCTGCTCCTGCAGGCTGGCCGGTGTGTGAGCGCCTGCACCGATGGGTTCTTTGCCTGCCATGCCAAACGCGAGTGCTCGGTCTGCCCGACCGGCTGTGCCACATGCTTCACCAGTGCCGACCGGCCGGAGGGCTGCCAGGCCGTCTGCACGACCTGCCGCGCGCCGTGGATGTGGTCCCCGGCGGCCGAGCGCTGCGTCGATGTCTGCCCGGCCGGGGAGTTCCAGCCCCGGACGGATGTCTTCACGTGCGAGCCCTGTGCCGGGGCCTGTGCCTCGTGCCACGGCCAGGCCGACCGGTGCACCGTCTGCTCGGACGCCGGGGCCTGGCTCCATCCGGCCACCGGGGCATGCAGCCTGTCCTGCTCGGCCAGGGGCCTGGCCAAGTCCCCGGTCGAGCGGGTGTGTCTCTCCTGCCCGGAGGGGTGCCAGCATTGCGGCGCCCCGCCGGACATCGGGCCCTGCCTCCTGACGACCCAGGGCATGCTCGAGTGCCCGGAGCTGACCGCGTGCGACCGGTGCGACGCCGAGCACCCGCTGCTGCTGGGCGACGAGTGTGTGGCTGCCTGCCGGCCGGGGTTCTATGCCGAGTGGGATGCCGACCCGCCCGTGTGCCGGGCCTGTCACCAGAAGTGCGCCGGCGCCTGCACCGGGCCCGAGCCGACGGACTGCCGGGCCCCGGACAAGGCCCTGCCCTCGGACCAGCGCCTGGCCCTGGGCCTGGGGATCAGCCTCGGGGCCCTGCTGCTGCTGCTGCTCCTGCTGCTGGGGGTCTTCCTGCTGCTGCGGTGGCGCCGGGCCGGCCGCACGCGCAAGCCCCTGGACCGGCCGGACGAAAATGCCACCATCCTCAACACCTTCGTCGGTGCGTGCCCCTACTGCGGGCGGGGCCGGCACCTGGGTCCCCGTCGCCCCTCGCCCCCGCGCCGTCGCCCGAGCGCCGTACATCCCTCTCGCCCCTCGCCCTTGCCGCCGCCCGATCACTGACCCGCCCCCCTTGCACAGAGCTCTCCCTGCCCGGGGCCATCCTGGTGGACATCGCGGCGGACTTCGTCCCGCTGCAGGACCAAACCCTCGGCCAGGGGGGCCAGGCCAGTGTCTTCGCGGCGCGCGCCGTCGGGGCCAACATCTCCGCGCGCACCGGCTGCCCCGACGTGGTGGCCATCAAGAAGATGAAGGCCGACAAGATGCGCCCGCTGGAGGTGACCCTCTTCCAAAATGAAATTGCCCTCATGTGGTGCGTACCGCCGGCCGCCATAGGGGGGGGCCCTGCCCGCCGGGTGGCCCGCCGGCCGTGACACATGCGCCCGGCCCCTTTTCTGACCCTCGCTCCGCGCCTCCGGGCCAGGCTCCTGCGCGGCCAGGACCACATCGTGCGGATTTACGGCTACTCCGAGGCCCCGCCGGCCATTGTCATGGAGCACTTCCAGTCGGACCTGTCGGGCCTGCTGCACTCGGCGGCCGACCTGCCGCTCGGGGTGCTGCTGGACCTGGTGCACCAGTGGGCCGCCGGGCTGGAGGCCATGCACGCCCAGGGGGTGGCCCACTGCGACCTGAAGCCGGCCAATGTCTTCGTCCGGCCGAGGGCCGACGGCTACTGGAGCGCGGCCCTCGGCGACCTGGGCACCAGCCGGAATCTCAGCGCCGACCGGGCGTCGGCCCTGCTGCAGGCCGCGCCGCAGCTGAATGCCCTGACCGCGCGCTATGCCGCGCCCGAGGTGGTCCAGGCGTTCCAGGCCCGCCGGGCCCTGGCCCTGGAGGCCTACCTCCCGGCGGACATCTACTCGGCGGCCATCATGCTGTGGGAGTGCCTGGCCCGCGCGGTCCCCTGGAAGGGCCTGCCCTTCGCCCGCATCGCCGAGCAGGTGCTGGCCGGCGACCGGCCCGAGGTCCACCTCGCCACCTCGCCCATCGCCTGGACCAGCCAGCCCCTGGCCCAGGGCCTGGTGGAGCTGCTCCCGCGGCTGTGGAACGCCGACATGCATGCCCGCCCGGGGGCGGCCAACCTGCGCCACTCCATCGCCACCCTCGGGGCCATGCTGCCCCCTTAGGCCGCGGGGCCGGGCCACCCTGTGTCACTTTGATGCGCAATACACCCTTCGGCAGTGGTGGCACCGAGCGCAGAAGCGGGGGGGGGGGGGGGGCGTCCGGGCGGGGCGTGGCCCTGTCGCGGGTGCCTGGCCTGCCCCGTCGGGCGCGCGTCGAGCACCCGCCAACGCCACGCGGGCAGGGCACACCGGGCCCGGGGGCTCGGCCAACCCCGGACGGGATCGGCAAGAAAGGCCCGGCCGCCGGCATCCTGGCGGCCGGGCCGGCGCCACCACTGGCCCCAGTTCCCCGGCACGGTGCTGCTGCTGTGGCACGGGGGCCGGCAGCGGGTTGCCGCGCGTGGCCAGCCGCCACGGAGCGAGCCGGTCGCCCGGCTTTCCTGCCTCTCCCGCCTCGCCCATCGGGGAAGGACGTGCGGGCCGTGACGCTGTGCGTGCGGTGCCAAAGGGAAGCACGCGCCGCCGCGTGGACGCCATGCACCCGGGGCACATGCTCGCACCGGCGCCGAGCCCCGGGCCCCCTTGCAGCGGAGGGCCAATGCGCCGGAACAGGGGCCCGACGCGCGCGGTACAATGGGCGCTGGCGCACCGTCGGCCCTGGCGAGCCAGCACCCGGGCAGGCCTCGCGAAGGGTGGCACCAATAAGACGCCGCCCTGCCGCATGCGGGCCTCCTCCGGAGCGGCCGCGCCAACGGCCGGGGGCGCGTGGCGACGAAGGCCCTTTCCGCCGGCGGCGTCTGCCGGGTGCCCCCTGTGGCCAGCCGGCCGCGCCGCCCTGGCGGCCCGCCTGGCACCCTGCCCGACGGGGGCGCGCATCGTGCCCGGCCGACGCCGGCCTCCTCTTTTTCCCGGGCCTGCCCCTCGCGCGGCCCCCGGGCTGGCATGGCCGGCATCCGGCCGGAGCGCATGCGCGCCCGGACCCGGCGCACGAGCCGCCAGGCTCCCGGCCGTGGGCCGCCCCACCTCCGGCAAGCCAGCTGGCCGCGGAAAAGCCCCAGGCCTCAAGCCAGTGCCGCGGCGGGCGTGCCGCCGAGCGAAGACGCCCCGGGCCCCGGTTCGCTGTGGTGCCGCCTGGTCAGGCAGCACTGCCCAGCCGACCGGCGGGTGCCGGCGGCCGCACCCCGGGCCGTCTGGTGGGATCCCCACAATGGGCCATTTTACGTTTGCACCCGCCAGGTACACGCGCACATTCGTGCATGTGTGGGACCCCCCCCCCCCCCCGTTGCCGAGGCCTGGTGGGCTCCGGAGGGGGGGCCGCCCAGCGCGTGCCCCGCTTCCCGGGCTGCGTCCCTGCCGGGATCCGCTGGCCGCTTGGCCGTGTGCGCGCGGCCGGACGCCGCGTGTCTCCCCCCCCCCCCCGCCCCCCTGGGGGGAGGGCCAGGCCCGGCGGCGCGGCGTGGCCTCGCTTCTTATTCGCCCATGCGTGCCTTCCCAGCAGATTAGCCTGTTTAGCTCAGTTGGTAGAGCATGGGACTCTTAATCCCAGGGTCGTGGGTTCGAGCCCCACAGTGGGCTATCTTCATCGTTTTTGCCGCCCGGGGCGAGCGAGAGGCCCGTTAGAGAGAGACGGGTGAGGCGGGGGGGGGGGGCAATCCACACCCCGGGGCCGGGGGGCGGCGGAGCCGGCGTGCGCGCCGTTTCCGAATGCCGGACCCCTCAGCCCGAGGCGGCCCCCGTCCCCGGCAGAGGGCCCACCGCCGGGCGCAAGTGTGTCCCCGGCCTCTGCCCCTCTCTCTCTCTTGTATTCCTCCGGGGGTTGCCTGCGCCGCCCGGGCGGCCGGCCCGCCCGGCCAGCGCGCCCGGCATAAAAGCCACGCGTCTCGGTCTTAGAGTATCCGCTCCCATATAGTCTAGGTGGTTAGGATACGTGGCTCTCACCCACGAGACCCGGGTTCGAGTCCCGGTATGGGAATTACTTTTTGGCCGGCGCGGCGAAAAACATGGCCCGCCGCGGGGCGGCTCTCTGAGACACACCACCGCCCGAGATCGGCACAGCGGCCGGGGGGGAAGAGGGGCTCCGGCCATCTCCGAGACACCGCCACACCACCCCGCCGGGTGGGCCTCCTCTCCCCCTCCGGCAAAAAAGGACGCCGGCAAACAAAAGGAATGCTCCCGATCCGGGAATTGAACCCGGGCCTCCCGCGTGACAGGCGGGGATTCTCACCACTATACTAATCGGGACTGGTGCTGACGGCGACCCCGCGCCCGGGGCTTTTGTGCGCTTTCTCTTCGCCCGCCCACGAGCACGAGCTGCCAACGCACCAGCCACTCCAGCACCCCGGCACTGGAGGCTGGGCCTTGGCGAGACATGCGCCCGGCGGTGGCCGGAAATTCGGCCATACATAATGGCCCGGCTCATATACCGGGCTGCGGGCGGGCGGGGGGAGAAAGGGCGATGGTCGGCGGGGTCGTCCAACGGGACGTGTTCCGGCCCGGGCGGCCGGGTCCGGCGGGGGGCACCCGGCGCCTTGGGGCTTCGCCCCCTGGGCCCCTGAATGGGGCCGGGGGGGAGCCCCTTGCCGGCCGGGCCGGATCCCGCGCCGGGGCCGCCCCGCCGGCGCGATCCGCCGGGAGGTCGATCGGCCTCCATGCGGCCAGGGCCGTCCGTTCGGGCCGCCGCCCGTAGCCCCTCCTGGGGGTCTGGTCTCTCTTTCTCCCGCGGCGGAGAACGCCCGCGGACAGGGGCCCGGCAAAGGGCGGTACCTGCGCCGGGCCGTGTGCGGATCGCGCGCCATGCTGGTCCCGCGCACGGGCGGGATGAAGGTGCGCGCATGGGTGGGTGACGCGCGCACGGGCGCGAGTGGATGCGCGGGGCGCGCGGATACACCCCTGCGCAGGCGCCCAGCGGTGCGGGTGCACGGGCGCGCGGACGCACAGGCAGACAGGCTCATAATCGCACAGGCTCACGGACACACCAAGACGCCAAAACACCAAGACGCACACAGACACACCAAGACGCACACAGACACACCAAGACGCACACAGACACACCAAGACACACACTAACACACCAATGCACCATGGCACACCAAGACACACGCTAACACACCAAGACACCAAGGCACACCAAGACACACGCAAACACACACAAACACACACAAACACACACAAACACACACAAACACACACAAACACACACAAACACAGATACAAGGGCTGCCGCGCGAGATGTCTCGAGGCACCGAGTGTGCCATGCTCTCCCCCTTCACCCCCCCCCCCCCCCCCCCCCCCCCCCCCCCCCCCCCCCCATCCCACCCTCCCAGGTGACTGGAGTTCAGACCCCCCCCCCCCCCCCTCCTGGCGCCTCGCCGCACCGTTGACACTCAGTCGCGCGCACGCCATGGCTCGCCCCCCACCACGCCGGGCCGGTGGCCGGCCCGTGGCCGGGAAGCCGTCGGCCACCGGCGGCCTCGGCCTGCTGTTGGCCCTGGCCGCGGCCCTGCTCGCCGGCGCCCAGGCGGCCCTGCTGCCCACCCCACGCAGCCTGCAATACCACCGGGTGCACACGCTCCCCGGGCCCGATCCCCCCCCGGCCGGGGCGCCCGACCACGCCCGGGACATCCGCTTCTGCGACTTCTTCAGCCAGGACACCCTGCTGCCCGGGGCCACCGACGGCCTGGACGACCTGGCCTTCTACCAGACATACTACGCCATGCGCCCGGGGCAGGAGTCCCACTCGCGGCAGCGCCCCCAGCCGGTGCACTTCCTCCCCGGCAGCACCGGCAGCCTTCACTGCACCACGGCCACCGCCTTCCCCCGGGCCGGGCTCACCTACCCGGCCACCCGGTACGACCCGGCCACCGGCCCCACGCGGGAGGTCTTCTTCGATGAGACGGCCGGCCTCGTGCTCCGCGGCAATGGCCACTTCGCCACGGCCTACGCCCTGGGCCCGGCCCTGCCGCCGGTCCTGGCGGCCACCTTCCCCGACGGCCGGGACGCCCCGCTGTCCGGGCTGGTGTCCTTCGACCATGGCACCGGCGGCACCAGCCCCTGGACCGTGCGCATCGAGGTCCTCGGCAGCGACAACACCCTCCTCCGGCCGTACATGGGCAGCGTCAGCCACCTGCGGGACATTCGCCAAGCGGCGGCCGTGGACCTGGACGCCGACGGCCTGCCGGAGGTCCTGCTCGCCGCCAAGGACACCACCACCCCCGGCTGCGAGGAGGACTTCTGCCTGCTCCTCCTGGAGGGGCTCCTGCAGCCGGACCTGCCGGCCGGCGCGCTCTTCCACCAGCGCCACCTCCTCCGGCTGCCGGGCAGCATGGCCCCCGGGCCCATGCTCCTCGGGGACTTCGATGGGGATGGCCACGCGTCGGATGTGGCCATCCTGCCGGCCGTCGGGTCGACCACGGCCCGGCCGCAGCTGGTGCTCCTGCTGTCCGGCCGGGACTTCGCCCGCCGGCCGGTCCACATCGACCTGGCCGGGGCCTTCTACCCCTCGCCGCCGGCGGCCTGGTCGGAGGCCGTGATCAAGGGCGCCGCCGGGCGCCTGGACCCCGGCCACCAGCACCATACCCTGGTCCTGGCGGCCGGCCGGCGGGTGCTGGCCCTGGCCGGGCCGCTGGCCTTCGGCCCGGATGACCACTCGCTGGACCTGGCCAGCCTGCCGCACTGGGCCCTGGTGCCGGATCTGGACCAGGGCTTCTGGGTGGCCATCGCCCTCGGGGATGCCGATGGCGACGCCCGGCCGGACCTGGCCCTGGCCCACAGCCACCGCCCGACGGACATTCGCCTGTACTCGGCCATCGAGGCCACGCCCGCCTGCTGGTGCGGGCCCACCCATGGCCTCTGTGTCCATGCCGCCGGCCCGCATGACAGCCCGACGTGCTCCTGCCGCGGGGCCAATCGCCGGCTGACCGGCACGTATGCCCCGTGCGAGGCCTGTGCCCCGGGGCACTTCGCCCCCGGCGACGATGGTGCGCCCCTGCCTCGCCCCCTTTTTTCCCTTGCCGCCCTGCTCTCCCGCGGTCGCCTGGCTCGTTGTGGCCCCTTTTTCCTCCGCTTGCACACATGTGTGCTCGCGTGCACATGCACACTCGCGTGCACATGCACACATGTGTGCTCGCGTACACATATACATATGAACACATTTACTCACGTACACTAACACGCACACCTACACACCTACACACCTACACGACTACACACCTACAAAACTACATAACTACACACCTACACAC